AAAAATCTTTCTGTCTTTATTCCGTATTATTTGCAGTCTTAGCAGAGTTCCTACACAGCACAAATCTTTGATATAGAACTATGAAGGACATTGGCAAAGGCCAAGGAAGGATGGAAAACAGTCTGTTCGAAGATGAAATTGGACAAAATATTTAGTTAGATTTTGTAAAGTTGCATTTTACTAATTCAGTCTGTTTGTCACATTTGTATCAGCTTGAAACCAGAAGTACCAACATAAAGAGATTTCATAATACTACCCTGAAGCATACAAAACTGCTCTCTGTGATCTTAAGACCTTGGAGTCAGCTATGACCTCACAAAAGAAGGAAGTTCATGAAAGGAGCAAACAGTAATGCAGCCAGAAATGTGCAAAACATAGTATAAACAGGAAGAAATTGTTGAATGCCCTATATTCTGCTGTATGCTGCGGTAAAGGCAGACAAACCAACATCTGTAAATCTTTACAGCAGATCTAGTTTAACATATGAAAATAAGGAACTGATTTTTCAGCAGTGGGTACTTTCCATTTCCAGGAGATTTTATTTTGGACATATCATATCATTAGGCTCTTCTGATGTTGAGAAAAAGATAATTTTAGTAGCTTTTCTAGGATTGATCATAATTTCTGTTTAGACTCTGATTCCTTTAACCACTTCGCGTCTTAATTGGACTCAAGTTCATGAGGTTTGTTACTTCGTTTTCCTCTTCATAAAGCAACTTAGCATCAGTTACTGTGTTCCACTAAGAAAGCTGCAAAAGTATTTATCTCAGATGGCAAGGCCACAAAGAGCTACAATTTTGCTTTGAGTTATTTCCTTTTCCCTAAAAATGTGCTTTTCTAAAAATGTACTGTCAAAATTATTAAAATACTAGAGCCAAATTCTCTTACTAGCTGCTTCAGTGGGTTGACTACCTCACTTAGAGTGAGGGAGAACAAGCCACTACAGAATGGCTCATCTGCAACTGAACAGTTTCTTTCTTGCCCATTATAGCCCACATCAGTCTACAGGTGTAAGCATTCTGGAAACAAATATTTCTCCCACTAAACACTTCCTTCTGAAAAACATCATCTGAAAAGAAAGTGAAAACAGAGAGCACAGAAGTTAAAAATATATGTTTTGAGAGCTAATATTCTCTAGGAATTCTGCAAAAAAACTTTTGAGATCTCAGCATTATTGGGAGATATTGATCCAAATCTGTGCCACACCACAGGAAACTTCTATCCTTTTTCTGGCGAGAAACTACTCAAATTCAACCTGTCAGTTACCTCTCTTCATTCTTAAGGGAGTTGTCAATATTTTTGACTTGCCAGCTCTTTTTGACAGCTGAGACATCTTTATATTTTGGTTAGACATTTGGTTAGATACTATAATCTAGCTAACTATAGAGAGAAATATATCAAATGGAGCAAAATAAACCATCTTTTCACTTCAGCAGTAACACAAGTAAATCACATTACTTGCCAGAAGTATTAATGCAACACCATAAATACCTCACAGCATAAGACTTCGAAGATGTTGTAAGCTGTTATTACTGCCATTCTGAACTTCATGTCAGAAGTGAGAATAGCTTACATGTGCTTTAGTTACTGAGAGAAGGTTATAGATATTCCGCATGTGACTAAAGAGGAAGGGAAGAGATACCACAAACCAACTTGAACCCTTCACACAGTAATCTGCAGAAATTACAGGTAATGTGTTTGATTCTTCCAGTAAACATCCTTCTGGCACAACGTGTGCTGGCAACCGTTTCCTTCTTTGCAGCCAATACCATCTTTACCACAGCAGTTCCCAACTGCAGCACAGCTGTCACACCTTCCTTTCCTTATTTTACCACATGCTGCTTTACTCTTTACAAGCAACAAATTCTTCCTCTTCTCCCTCATTTTATTCCCTGAGAAGACCTAGTTCTGCTTATGAGCAGTCATAAGTTTGTGAATTCCAAAGGGTATGTCATTATAGTGGAACCCATTGGATATCTAGGTCTGGTTACATATTAATAAATGCAGCTCCTTGTCCCGTCACTACAGATCTTGGCAAAATAATCTCCCTATGTGTTTCTTATAAGCCCCCTTTAAGTATTGAAAAGATGCAATATGTTTTGAGATGTTTGCAGTCCCTTCTCTTCTTCAGATTGAACAAGTCCAGCTCTCTCAGCCTATCTTCATAGAAGAGGTGCTCCAGCCCTCTGAGCATTTTCACTACCCTCCCCTGGGCTTGCTCCGATACACCCATGTCTTTCTTGTACAGAGGTCCCCAGAGCTGGATCCAGTACTCCAGGTGGGGTTTCACGAGACAGGAGTAGAGGGGGAGAATCACCTCCCTTGACCTGCTGGTCACACTCCTTTTGATGCAGCCCAACTGGGACAGGAAACTGGGTTTCCTGGGCTGCAAGTGCACATTGCCAGCTCATATCTAATCTTCCATCTGCAAAAATCCAGTGAAGCCGCAATAAAGTTCATAGTTACAAGTGTTTTAATATGATTTATCTGAAGCACAATAAATAAAAATATATAGATCTTTGAAATATCACTGTAATGTTCTCAAATCCAGTAAATAAAATGAGTCCCTCCCAAGTTTGTGAGCAACATGCGTTTGTTACTCCTTGCAGCTCCTAATCTTTTGAAGAACAACATACAATGCTGCTGGCAAAAACAAATTCAAGATCACTGCCCAAATTATATGTTGTTACTGACTACCTCCTACAATAAAAGTATAAAGAAACATCATGTGAGCTGTAATAAATGTTTACATAGCAACAAAGTGCCTTTGCTAGTGATTGCCAAAGAGTAAGCTACCACCTGCTTAAGCCAAAGACGTGTCTTTTTCTTTTGCTCCAAATAATGTCCAGGCACTGCAGAAAGTCATGTGAGGAATTTAAATACTCAACCCTCACTTAAGATTGAGTTATTTACTATTCACAAAAACTATGTTTAATATAATGGGATTTTGGAGAACAGTGGATGAAACATTTTTCCAACAATGTAACTTAAATGTCGATGCAGTAAAATAAAGTGCATCCTATCCTCTTTCTACAAGGAACCAGAACAGAATACTGTGTTACTGACACGCAGATGTCAAATTCTATTTCCGTAGTGAACATGAATGAGTTTCTGCAGTTCATTTGTTTACCAAAGAGACCAGATATAGTTCCTCTACAGTATTTCTTTCAATTTTCACTTTCAAGAGAAAAAACAAGGAGACCTGCTATCAATGGGTAATTAAACAAAATGTTTTAAATCAGCATATATTGGCAGCTGAAATATTACCTTAATTCAATTAATTTTGCATCTTTAAGATTAGCTATGAAAAGATTAAGTATGAATTGGGGGGGGGGGGTGTGATTTTTTTCCCAAACCCTTGCTTTTCCCACACCTAAAATACCTCCCTTTCAGAGCAGTACCAAAATATTGGCCACTATAAAAAGGGATGGGCTTTTCTTTTTTTTAAGTGTTCAAGTGTAAACATTGAATCAGTGGACTATTAGACTCAAGTTATATATTAAGCACGTGAGCAACATGCTATTGCTCAAACGCATAGTGTGTACAGTACCTCCAACCTTAGCAGTAGAAAAATCTGTGTGATTACTTTTTTTGTACTTAACCAGAATACAGTGTTCCAAGTCATTTTATTAAATTTCTATCTCTTTTTATAGAATCATAGAAACAAAGAATGTTTTGGGTTGGAAGGGAGCTTAAAAGAGCATCTAATTCCAACCCACTGGCATGGGCAGGGACACCTTCCACTAGACCAGGTTGCTCACAGCCCTATCCAACTTGGCCTTCAACACTGCCAGGGATGGGGCAGCCACAGCTTCTCTGAGCAACCTGTGCCAGTGTCTCACCACCTTCTTAATGAAGAACTTTTCCCAATATCTAATCTAAAACTACTCTCTTTGAGCTTAAAGCCATTCCCCCTTGTCCTGTCACTACATGCCCTTGTATAAAGTTCTTCTCCAGGTTTCTTGTAGCCCCCCTTTAGGTACTAGAAGCTGCTCTAAGGTTTCTCTGGAGCTTTCTCTTCTCCAGGCTGAACAACCCCAACTTTCTCAGCCTGTCTTCATAGGAAGTGTTCCAGCACCCTGACCATCTCTGTGGCCTTCATCTGAACTCACTTGAGCAGGTCCACATCCCTCTTGTGTTGGGGACCCCAGAGCTGAATGCAGCTGCCTCATGAGAGAGGAGTAGAGGTATTACTCCTCACATTTTAAAGGGCATGCAAAGTACTCACCTAACTTACTATACTTCCACCACAGGGACTATATACTCATGGTAGCAAAACAAGACTCACAATAAATTTTCAAGGAAACAAGGTAAAGAGGCAGAGTATGCACATACTTGTTTCAGAAGGGTGTCCATGCATTTGAATGTTAGCTTGGAAGGCAGGTAAGTATGAATAGTCAAAGGAAATAATAGAAACAACCCTGACAGACTGTCCACGACTACAGGTTAAACCAAAGCAAAAATGCTGAACACAGCATGGTTTTGAATTAAACTGAGGTTTCCCTCTGAGCTTGTGAAAACGTGAATCCCCCATGAGACTTGTAAATAAAGGGTGAGATTATGTGTTTGAAATGCAAGCCCAGGTTTTGTACCATGTGGGACTCCACAATGAGACATTCAGACCCCAGGGTTTTTGAAGCACTTTGCACCTCCTGTGCCCCCAGTAGTGGAGGCTGTGCCTCAGCTAGCCGGGCTCGCTGCCCCGCCGGCACCTCAGCGAGCACAAGCTACGAAACCCGCAGCGATAAACGCGAGCACCGGGCTGCATTTTTAGCCCTTCTTCTTTGAAAGATGAGTATGAACGCATAAGCCGCCGGGAACTCCGCCGAGCGCTTCCCGAACGGGAGTGTGAGAGCCCGAGAGCCGGCAAGCACCGAGCCCGCCGGGGGGCCGGGCCCGCGGCTGCGGGGAGACTTTCCGTCGTCCATCAGAAGCGGCTCGAGGTGCCGCTACGGGCGAGCCGGCGGGGACGATAGCCTTTGGCTTCAGCCGCGGCGGGCGGGGCCCGTCAGCCGTGCGCTGAGGAGAAGCGAAAGCGAAGGGAAGGTTGCGGACGCCGGGGGATCCCCGCGCCAGTGGAGGTGGCAGCGCCGCTGCCTGGCGGGTGAGACGCGTGGGGGAACGGGCCGCGTGTGTGCGCGTGCATGCGTCCCGCAAAGTCCTCGGCCACGGTCTGTCACTTCAGGGCGCTGCCACGGAGCCCGGACGGGCGCTCCCGCCTCAGATGGTGGTGCCCCGGGCAAGGCAGCAGCCCCCGATGCTGTGCTGCATGCCCGGCGTGGCTTTCGTCCCCGCTCTGCTCGTCAGCTGGTCCTCGGCCGCCTTCATCACATCCTATGTGATCGCCGTGCTGAAGGGGCACGTCGAGCCCCTCGTCCCCTACATCAGGTGAGGCTGGGGCGGCGGTGGGAACCGATGAGGTGCCGCGGCGGACACCCAGCTATGAGGTGGCGCCTCACCATGGGAAGTCCGAGGGGACAGCCGCACCGCCGGCTCCCCGGCTCCTTCCCGCCGCAGCGCGGCTGTGGGCCTCCCCGGAGGGGGAGATGCAGCAGTGGCAGTGGAGGAGATGCAGAACAGGGACCCGCTGTGCCGTGTGCGCTTGACACCCATCACAGCTCCAGCACCCAGGCCTCTCTGAGAGCAGCAGTAACCAAATGCGGATGGACGTGGTAGAAGGAACCTGAAACAGTTTTCTGCTGGAGCCAAAGTACGCTGCAGGCCCGAAACTAGCAAAACTTAAGGAGTAAATGATGGAAATGTGGTTTTGTTTGTGTAACTCCAGAACTGGGCCAAAGATGGTGGCAGGTTTCAAAGCTTTACAACAGCTTTTGTGAGGGATATACATGCCCAAGAAAATGCATCTTTAAAATTTCAGCATAGGAGCAATGAGTGTAAAAGGCTCCCTGAGCCTTTTCTGCTATAGAAAGGAATCTCCGTTTTATAACCTTGGTCATTTAAGCACAATTCTGCATAAAAAAGTGTTTATACATTGCTGATATTAACACTTAAATCTGAGCTGTGAAATCACTACTACTCAGTTCTTAGTAGATTAAAGGTAAACCAGAAATCCAAAAGTGGTTTGATACGTAGAAGATCTAAAATAGACTTTAAATTACATATTTCAAGAAATACCTAGACCTAATTCCTTGAAAGACTTTATGAACACACAGAGTTCCAGAAGACTGCTAACCTGATTTGTGCATATACGTAAATTTGATTGAAAAGTAGGATCTATCATCCTAAGCAAGTAAGATGGTGCAAATGGCACTGCAACCCAGAAGAAAATTCACCTTCATTCAAATTGAGCCAAAGAAAATTGGGCTTCATGCTTATGTTAGCAAAACTTTTTAAGATCATCTGCCCAAATCTGGACTCGGCTCTTGGAAACCCTTGTTCTTGTACATGCACAAATACCCTACTGCCTTTGTGGTTATACTCATGCTCTTCCTTGGTTGCATGCACAGTTTTACTGACACAAAAGTGCTTGTAACCAGTGTAATTTATTCATTCCAACCAAGAAAAAGAAACCATTTGATATAACTTTGTCCAGGCTCAGCACATGGTTTGTACTCAGAAGGATTCTTTAGTAAGAAATTTGACAGATGTTTCTTATTTGAAGCCATGTCCTTGAAGAAAATATATGAGAGAATAGGATGAGGGTTTTTTCGTATAGTTGTTTTTGCAGGCAAGTTTTTGACAGCCTGGATATCTCAGTTGTGTCATTCTATGTAAAAAGGTAGACCAAACCTATAACTCTGATGACTGTGTCACAGCTGCCTTAGTTATATCTATCTAACAGAACACCTCACTGAAAACAAACCCCCAACATTCTTATACTTTAAATAAGGGATCACAATAAATGTCCACATACTTTATACCCCCCCAAGATACATGAGGCTCTGTCAGTCATTCAAAAACTCCAAATAAACAACAAACAATAACCCAGTCACATTTCAGGCCTCTGCATTTGCTAATAAAGTTTTTTAACATATGGATGCCTTGTGTCCTTTTAACACATTTGGACTAAGGATATACATTGACTGTTGGTGAACAATCTGTAATAATTCGAAAGCCACATGGTCTAAGCATATAATCTTCTTTGAAGGTGCACTTGGGAGAAATAGGATGATTTCTTCTAGAGTGCTCAGTCATTCCATAGTTCATATGCTTATTGTGCAGGTCATTTCTTTAGCCTAAGAAGTTGAATCATGGGATTAAGAATGTGATTTAGTGAAACTTAAGAGTGATAAAAAAAGAGGAAGAATGTTGCAACATATCAGTTGTGCAATATCTTAAAATAAACTATAAAAATTACCTAGAGCTTATACGGGGAAATTCCAGTTACAGAAAGGAGAAAAAAATCGACAAATTTTATTTCAAAGTTTCTGTAATTCTTATTTGCATTCCTGAAGTAACCAATCTGTGCCTTGAGGTAACTTGTTAATTTTATTTGTTTACCATGTAACAGCTGTCACAGTGAGAGAAAGACCACATCTAAATTTGTCATTGAAACTGTGCTAATGTCTCGTCAAGTAAACCACATAAATACATTTCTGGGTAGATAAAAATGAATATGATTTTGTGTTTTCTAGCAGCTGAAGCATAAAATGTGGTCAGGTTATGCCCAAATTAGTCCTTTTGCTCATACTACTCACAATCCAAACTAATTTGGATGTGCTGGGGTGGCTGTTTGGTGGTTTGAATTCTCAGGGAAAGAGTAAGGGAATTTTCCTTGAGGTATTTGCTGCCAGATGGTACCTCTGGATCAATCAGAATCCCCGTAGGCAGAATTTTACCCTCCCACTTCAAAAAATTGGGACTTCAGTTTGAAGAGAAATAGTTTATGATGGCTATGAAGAAAATGTTATGATGATGAATCTTTTGGCCCTAAAATATTTATTCCCTGTCTCTTCTGACTTCTTGTCTTTCCATTCTTCAGAGGACTGTTTGTAGAATTCTGCTACATGAGATGGATACATAAGTCCTGTCATGCAGGGTTTTATGGTGGTTTCCATGGTGGTTGTGCTCACCTATGTGCCATAGCAAATAAATGAACACATTTTTGTTTCATATGTGCCATTTGCTTTTTTCTTTTTCATGAAAGATTAGCTGTCACAAATACTTTTTTCTTTTTTTTTTTTTATTTTTTTTTCAAAGCAGGAGACCAGAAGCAGAACAAAAATATACCTAAGTCTTCACTTGGCTTCAGGGATTTTATAGTGGAAAATATGGCATTAAAAAGACTGTCCTTAAGGGACAATACAGCAGTGCAGAACTTTGTAAATACATTGTAGATATGATATAGTATTCTTAGTTTCAAGTTTCTTGAAAGCAGACATCTAAGATTATTGAGTTTGAAAATGCACAATAGCAAAATTCACCCTTAAACTTTATTTAGCTTGGGAAAAGCTTTAATTAAAGATTTAATGGAGTTCAGTGCAATTTCATGTTATTTGGATTGCTCTTATGTTTTGAAATGTTCCAAGAACTTCAGATGGCTTTCTTTGCATGTGCTGATTTCATTTTCTTCTCACCTAAAGTCCTTCAAAAGCTTTGAAGTGATTACAGTCAGGTACTTAGCATAGAGCAGTTTCTGATTTGAAAAAGTCCTTCAAGATGGTCACAAGTTGACCACTTTTTAAATGGAGTCCTTTGTTGTATTTATGAAAGCACTCCAGAGACGTAAGGATAAGCTGTGAAGTTCAAGGTTAGAAAATGTGTTAAATGAAGCATGGATTAAGTTGATCTTAAATTATTTTAATTGTCAAAATGATTTTTAAATTAAAAAAAAAGATTCACTGTACTGTTTTCATTGATTCCACTATCAAAGAGTAACAAGACTAATACGGAGTACAAGCTAGAGCAAGTTTCAGAAAGCATTACAGCAAGAAAATACAGATGAACAGGGATTCTTAATGTCTGAGGAGTTGTAAAAACTTGTCTAAAAGTCTGGTCCAGGCTTTTGCTGTCTGAGAATTTGGAAACAATCTGCTATAAAAACCCAACCAACAGCAACAGTGAAAAAAACCCCAACCCCCCAAAAATCAAACTCAAGTTTTTCCTCTATTTTTTTCCATAGTCTTTTCATGGGAAAGTATTCTTCCTTCACCCTAAGCTTCCTTTCATTCTTGGTATATCACTTTAGCAACTGATTACACAAATGCTTCTGTAACATAGAAGGCATTTGAGAGCAAATATTAATTTTTAAAACAATTTATCTTTTGTTATGGTCAGACTCTTCTGGCTTGCATTTAACAAAACTGTCAAAATCTTTGAGAATGATTGCTTATGTAGAGAGTGCTTTCTTGTTTGGGTTTTAAGAGTACAGCATTCATGCTGAGCGCCTGTCGTTTTGGCTGCACTTAGTGGGAGGTTCAGAAGTTTAGCACTGAAAACTAATAATCCACCCTCACTGTTGGAATGAAGAGCATTCAACTTGAGTTGCATAAACCCCCAAATTCTAGCTAGTACCTACTTGTCCCATCTTACACCTAAGTAAAGTTTTTTCCTCAGAATCTTTGCTTAGCTTCCACTGGACTTTGATGTTACCTAAATGCTTACATGTTTCTGTTTCTGGCTGCAGAGTTCCTTGAGTGCTTCTGTTTACACACACAATCATGCCTCTTGGTACTGCTGAGTAACTGAAAACTCAGCTCACATCCAAATTACGTAAAGGCTTCTGAGTTACTTGTTTTCCATTGGCTTGACCAACAGAGTCTGATCAAATAGATGTCAACTGGCTCTACATTAGACAAAAGAGGTGATGCATCTCAGTATTCTTCTGTCATTGAAGTACTCATTTTGTATAAGAGTCCTGCTTGAGGGAATATTCTCCTAGGAGTATGTCCTTCCTGCCAGGAAAGGGCATTCTTGTGGATAGGTGATGGCACATATGTAGGGAAAAGAGGGAAGAGTATTCTATGATGAAGGTACTCCATTTTCTACATAATATATATTTATATATGCTGGTTTTCATATGTATGTGTGCAAATAAATTCTGTAGATATTCTCATGCTCATGCACCATTGGTCCGTCCCAGTGAATGTCTAATTAATCCCTATAAGGGTGAATTGCTTCAGCAGAAGAGACTTACAACACCTTGGGTTTAAAGTACTCTTAAGCTGTATCTACATTAGTAAATAAAACCGTGCCTAGGATAATTCCCAAGCATTGGAATGCAGTTACTCTCCTGGAGTATAGTCCTTTCAAACAAATCAGGAAATTAAGCCCAATTTTCACACATCCTAGAATACTGAGTTCCATTAGCTATGTTTTACTCTATCACAGCATTCATTTGGCAGATAAAAGAAATGTCATTTCTAAAATGTCATTTATGTGATCATTTATGTCATTCATGAGTAAAGTATCACCCTGTCACTTCTCTAAATATTGCATACAGAAAAAGAAGAAATACAGTTCAAATAGTATGATCTAAAAAAAAATTATTTATTTCTAAAAAGAAAGATTCAATATTGCAAATAGAGATTGTTGTGGTTTAAGCCCAACCGTAAATCAGAACCATGCAGTCTCTGTCTCACTCCCCCCCTACCCCCCCCCACTCCCCAGAGGGATGGGGAGGAGAATCAAAAGAATGTAACTCCCACGGGTTGAGATAAGAACAGTCCAGTAACTAAGGTATAACACAAACCACTGCTGCTACCATCAATGATAATAACGACAAGGGAAATAGCAAGGGAAGAGAATACAACCGCTCACCACCCGCTGACTGATACCCCGCCCGCCCGAGCAGTGATCTAGCCCTTCTGGGTAACTGCCCCCAGGTCTACATCCTGGGCATGACGTGCTGTGGTGTGGAATGCCCCTTTGGCTAGTTTGGGTCAGGTGTCCTGTCTCTGCTTCCTCCTGGCTTCCCCTCCTCCCTGGCAGAGCATGAGGCTCACAAAGTCCTTGGTCAGAGTAAACATGACTTAGCAACAACTGAAACCATCGTTGTTATCAGCGCTGTTCCCAGGCCAAAAGTCAAAACCACAGCCCTGCACCAGCTACTAAGAAGGAGAAAAGTGTGCAGCAGATGACGTTCCAGTTGTTCCAAATGTTTAAATGTCTTGTGCACATAGCAGCACTTTATACAAGCTACATTTATCTTGGGGTTTCATGTGTACATCTCATTTATGTTTCACGGAGCTCAACTAATTTTTAATTTCTTTTTCTTCCTGTTTTAGTGACACTGGAACTAAACCTCCAGAGAGCGGTATCTTTGGTTTTATGATTAATATTTCAGCACTTTTAGGTATGTATAAGGTACTTTGTTTGAACACAACAAAGAAATGAAAACTAGCAAAAACTATCTCTCTACACTGTAGCCCATACAATATTCTGCAGGAAAAAAAACTTCTCCATACAATATTCTGCAGAAAAATTGCTCTACAGTTAAATGGTAATATCAGATAGATGGAAGCAGTATTTAGAGGACCAGGTCCTTAAAGTCAGTAAGTGAAAGCTTAGAGGCACTTCGAATCTGAAGAGCACCTCATCTGTCCAAAGTAGTCAATGTATATGGAAATAAAAATTGGAAGAAGGATGGTATAATTACTTGCCAAAACCTGTATCTTTGGCATAGGAAGACATTTGATTTTAGGATGCTGCAGCAAAGGGAAGAACAGTATTGAAGCAACACCTGGTTTCCTCTGCAAAATGCCTACCCCTCTGCTAAATATCTGCTGGCCTTGAATCAGGAAGTTTGGAATAGTCTATTTACTTCTAGGGGATGGAAGACCAAGAGCTGTGTGTCCCTGTATACATTTAGTCCATGATGGCCTTCATGCAAAGAAAAAAAATCATATATTTTACCTTTTCTAAGAGCCTCATTCAGTCACTATATTGGTGTGTTTCATATAATCTTACGGCACCTGGACAAAGTTACCTGATTTATTTTTCCAGCTGTAAATAGACTGAAACTCTATTCTGTGCTATAGAACTGTGGAATACAGTCTCCAACTTACTGTATCCTGATGAACCATGATCTTCTAATTCAGCAGAGGTGCTTGTCAGGAGTGACCAGCATATTGAGATCACATAAGATGGAATAAAATCTTTGTTTGGTGGTTTGGGGACATTGTTGTGCTAAAGAGCAGCCAGAATTGGCCCAAAAGCTTTGAAAATATTTTCTGGATACACAGTTAGTTACATTTTTTTCTATTTACACTCCTCAAAAATGTATTAATTCATCAGAGCATCCATTATAAGGAACAGAATAAATATCCTACTTCCAGTTTATGGTTCATTTGCCTCTAACATCTATTCCTGATGTGGAATGTCAATGCCTCTGTGCCTAAAATGCACAGGAGAATGGGATTTAAATTAGGGTTTTGCTTGTGCAGTGATTTCTAGATAGCATTAACATGTGAAGTTAAGACTAAGATGTTAAGACAGTTCTATATGGAATAATACACCTGAAATTCACTACCTTCCTTCATCATCCCAGCAGAGTTAAAGGCAGTATTATTTTCTGTATGCTAATGTGTTACATGGCAAGGTGTTTAAATATAAGCAATACATCATCACTGAAAAAAAATCCATAATTTTTGTTTTTCAGGTGTAATTACAATGTGCATCAGATATTTATTAATAGAGAAGCAAAATGAGTCGTCGCACTTTATTAGGTCTTCATGCAATGTGTTTTCATTATGTATTGGATTGATGGGCTGTACTGGAATGGGCATAGTTGCAACTTTTCAGGTATGACCGTAGATTTCATATCATAAATGAAACTAAATTTGTTTTACCAGTTCAAAAAAATCAGAACTATAAGAGTGGCAAATATCGCAGTATGGATACTTGGCAAATGGAATAAGAATGTTTTTCTTGCTCCTGTCTTTTTTCAGTAGCTTTAAAAAGACAGCTTTGCTTTCTTCCTATATGCTAGGTCTTTTGCTTGTGCAGTGATGTTAGTAAGGGAGTTTGTGTGGGCTTGTCTTGTAACATGTCTGCACTAGAAAAAAACTTGATATAGATGATTTTGCTGTCATTTTTACTATGAAAATCTTCCTGTAAAAAAGCTTTGCTTTTCACAGTTTAGTTTGCTTACAGGGCAGAATAGCTTAGACTAGCAAAAGCACCTGTATTTTTAGCTGCACACTACCAGCGTTTTCTACAGAATAAACTAGACTTATCTGACAGGTTAGAACATTGAGCACAATATTTGCCCATTGTTTTGAATGTGCAGGAGATGGCATAACAACATATTAAGTCTTTTGAAAGAGACATGTAGAATTACCAGTTACAGTACCAGAAAGGGTAAGACATTTTATTATAAATCAAAGAAGTCCAGCCCACAGTGTCTGAAAGAAAATTCAACAGAGAGGAAAGATATTGAAAGGTTTATTGAATTCTTTTCACCTTTTCTAGTGTGGAAGTGGGTAATAGGGTACCTTGTAACACAAAGAAGTATTTGGACCCTTCTCTCCAAACTTTAGCTCAGAATCAAGTCAAGTTTAATTGGCAGGTAGTTTGAGATACTGCCTTTAAATCTGTGGAAACAGACGAACTGTTCCTTTGAAAGGATGGCCTCCCTTGGGGAACATTTTGGTAAATACTGTTGTGCTCATATAATAACCAGAAAACACATGGAGAAATAAAAATAAGGATTGTCAGGGCTTCAGCAGCCAATACAATTTTGCATGTAATCAACACTGTATTTTCAGACAAAAAACTGCCTTAGACTGATATCTTGCTCTTTTTAGTTGTAGTGACTGTGGATTGCAAACACTACAGGCACATTAGTCTATCTAAACATGCAATTCTACTTTTGAATATCTGTACTCTTATTGACCAGGTTTTAGATTTAGATGTGTCACCAAAAAAAAAAATTAGAAAATGGAGAACAGTGTTGCTTGAGTGAAATAGAAAACAAACTCTGCTTCAATAAAGAAACGACAAATCAGGAATGCAAAATAATTTGGGAGAGTCAGGGAAGCAGAAAGTTTGACCCTAAAGTTTCCAGTTATAGCATTGGTTCTTTTCTAATCTTTATTGACTTTCATTGCCTGTTCATAAGCTCCTTCCTCACCTAAATTTTCTTTCCTCTACTCTGCTCTCACTTTCCATGTTAAGTGCAGTTTGTAGGAAGGGTTCAGAACACAGTAAGGATCTAATCAGCCTAAGAACCCAGTCTAGCTGATTTTTGAGCATTCTTAATTGCCCAGGAAGATTGAAATGGTGGCTGCAAGTCTTCAGTCATTTAAGTGCATAGCATACTACTGGGAAACATTAAACTCTTATCCCCATTTACCATTAGAATAACTGAGACATGAAGAGGCTGTGAGATTTGCTCAAGATCAGGTGATTGTTTCACATCAGGAGACCAAAGCAAAGCTGGAATTACAAGTTGTTTCTTTAGCGTTCCGTCTAGTCCATCTAATCAGTGGGTTGTTTAGAAAATTCACATTCATATGCGCTATCTGTTTGTTTCTTAACACTTATTTGTCCCCAGCAAAGTGAGCTAACACCATACCCGCGTACTGTAATGGAGCTGATTAACACTATTTGGCATCAGTTCATTTTCTGTTTCCCCAAAAGAAAATATTCAGTTTGATAAAAAGCCTTCAGTGTGAAATTATACTGGAAATATTGAAGATTTGCTTTTATTTACTCAAATCTAGTGCCACTTCTGGCTAGTCTTTTAAGTAGCGTAATTAGTTGAAATGAAATTTTTTTTACCCTTCTTTCAGGGTAAGATATGGTAGGTAGCATGGGGGGGTTTAATGGTAGCGGTCTCAGAATACTTAGCAAAAGTGATAAAGGAGGTGAGAGAAAACACTAGTAATGCATCCTCTAAAAGTGAAAGAGTTTCTGATAAAATAAGTAACGGTCATGAATAAGGTGTTTGTTCTCTCTTTTACATAGAACAATGCTTAAAATACAGACATGAAAGACACTGAAGGGTTAGCTTTAAGAAGATAATTGTATATGGAAGGAAAAATCCAGTAGCCATTAATGAATAAGGCAAAGCAAAAAACCAGGTCTTAGCAAGTCTGGTTTTGTCTGTTTGACGTTGCATATGATTAAAGAGGTATCTTCTTGTCTTTGAGTAGGAAACTTAGAAGGCTTACTATAGCAGGAGTAGCAACATTTCCCAGGTTCTGTAGAGGTTGAGTGTGATGGTCTTTTTAGGGAAACTAGCATTTTCACGGGTGCAAGACCATGTTAGAAAAGTTCTTAGAAAAGTTCTGTATAATGTGTATGGGGCTAAATACAAAAGCCAACAGTTATACTTGCTTAATGCTTTCCATACCAAATCTTGTAATTCCTATATGGAAAGCAAAAAGTGGAACAGAGGAATAAAAAATGCAAGTCTAGATGAAATGTCACTTAAATACCTGTGTGAGGAACATGCTTTAAAATCTGACAGAACTTAATAGGTCACAGAGTTCGAAGGGAATGTGTAGAAAGAAAAGCATGGGAAAAAAGAGTTTAAAAGAGCATGTGAACATAATCACCATCACAAGACAAAGAAAACAGTGGCCTCCAGGCAGGAAATATATGAAAATATGTAATGAAAGAATATAGGTATGTTTCCATGAATCACTAAAATAGAAGTGTTGTAGATCAGATCATAGCACATGTTAGCTGACAGAAAGGAGCTTTAAAGCTGATTTTCCTGTCTGATACTGGATTCCAAGGTAGCACAACTTTGTAATTTTTTGAAACATTTATAGAATACAATAACTTCTCTGGAATCTTCATCTGTTTTGTTGCTGAATATTCTACTTATTTGTGTTTTAAAGGAGAGAACCTTCCATTGGTAGGGTATTACAAAATTATAGGCCACATACAGCATTACTGGAATTGTATACACACTTTCATGTGTTGTGGAACTTGAATAAAAGTAGCTGATGATGTGAAGAAGAGTAGGAAGGGTGAATAATTTATGACTGACAGCGTAAGACCTTCATATTAAGAGCTTATTTTAGCTCACACTTTAAAAAAAAAAAGTAACTAATTTTCTGCTGACTCTTTTCCTGGAGCCTTGTGTCTGGCCATTGGACAGTGAAGGACGGACCTATAGCAGTCACTGTTTAGAACAGCTTCCATGAAACTTTACCATTAGTTAGAGCAGGGCCACACAAATGCAGATTAGCCTTTCAATGCAAAAGGATGAAAATCTTTGGCAGAGTAGAGGGAAAAAGGAAGTATAGGAATGTCTTAAGAAAAACACAAGCCGGTTCCTGTTTGTGGAAATATTAACCGGTAATAGTCCAACTGCTGAACAGCCCTAGAATGGATTTTTCTTTCATCTTCCCTGTGTAGACTGTTGGGAGAAGCGACTGTTCTCACTGCTTGTGTACTCTCAGCATAATATGTCTACCATCTTCTTAGGGCTCATTGATACCACTGTACAAATAGTAGCAGCTAATCATTGCACTGATTTTCTTTCCAGGAGCTGTCTGTTCCCAGTGTCCATGACATAGGAGCTTTGGTGGCATTTGGCTCCGGTGTTGTATACATTACCCTTCAATCTATAATCTCTTACAAGTCCTGTCCACAATGGAACACTTACCTGGTGTGTCACATAAGGATGGCCATATCTGTAACATCATGTATTGCTTTCATTCCCAGTATCCTTTATGGTGTAGCCTACGGTTTTCCCTTTATGTGTTCACGATCTTTATTTTAAGTTTAACCATTGCTGATAAAAGATGCAAATGAGGTTACAGTCTCTGTAGGGGTCTGTAATTTTTCTGCTATCATAATGCTTATAGAATGTCGAGACACCATTAATAGCATAAAGATGAGTCTCAGGGTCTTCTAAAAAGCTGTCTGTCTTCTTTCAGTGGTATATCTGAATTAAATGTCATAGTGTTATTCATAGGATCATGCAATAATAAAACTAGACCAACTTTCCAACCTCCTTCATTTGAAGGGCAGTACAGAGAAAAGCTTGCGAAAGGGGAGCACTGCTTCTAGTATGAACCTAACGCATAGACAAATAAAATACAGTGGCATACACAAGATTTCTGTCAAGCCTAAGCAAATATTTTTGGTCATATTGGTCTGAACTTGCCTTCGTTAAATGCCTCCCCTAGAGACACGTTCAATACACTTACTGCCTTTTCCCACAGCCTGCTGAAATTAGAATCACCCCATTGATTATATTGGTCTTTAGGTGATCTGCCAGTGTTAAAAAGTTGTTGCAGCAGATCATCCCCTCAGCCAGCCAGCTACAGCCTGCTTTTGGTTTCAGCAGTTATGAAAATACTTTTAAAGAGGGTCCTAGTCCTGAGAGAAAGTTGTACAAATAAGGCATCTATTGTGGACCAATGGAAGACAACATCTAACAATGCAGGACTCTGCCCTCACAGTTCTCACTCATGAATGTGTCCTAAATTTTGGAGTGCCTCCCCTTACTCTCTGTACTTCGGAAGAACTCACAAAAACCCTTATTTGTGCAGAAAATTGTTTTGATTGCTGCTATCAGTTACCTCTCAATAATGTGTTTCATTTACTTGTCTTAATACTTTGATTTCATATTCTGTTTGTTCAGGATCTTGTGTTACAGCAGGGGGAGATGGGGTCTTTTTTTTTTTTGTAAGCAGACGTTTTCAATTACTCACTGAACTTTTATAGTCTCCTTTACGCTGTGTTTTTCCCAGTGATTGTGTTTGCTTCAAAAATTTCCGTGACAAAAATTGATTGGACTCCAGATGAAAAGGTAACATCTCACTAAGTAGCCAGCTTACTATCGTATCACTGGGTAGGCTGTTATGTTTATCTAAAAGTGTATAGCACTAAAAACACTTCAGAAACTTTAGATAGTACATTATCATGAGCAGATTTGTGAAATCTCACCTACTGGTGGAATAGTTTGCAGTTATTTATTTCTTCCTTCAATAGAGAACTGTCTGTGGTTTGGGTAAGAAAACTTGTCATGGAAGGGTCAGTCTTCAGAGTGTTAGACTTTCATTTTAACAAAGTGTTTGAAACTTACTCAAAGAACAAATTGTATAGTTTCATTTGTTGAAAATGAACTTCAGACATGAAACACAAGTGGACCAATTTAATTCTGAAGTTTTGGAGGTTTTTTACAACCTTTGATTTCTCAGGTTTTCACCATTCTTTATTAAATAGTCTTTACCATTGTGATAAACATCTGGGATATGGCCTGAAGCATACTACGGTCAATATCAGGTATTTGAATTGATTTCAGTCATCTCAGAATTATAAGTATGAAAGGTACATATTCTTTTTGAACAAACTTTGTCTCATGGGGTATAAAAAAGCAGGTTGAATAATGCAGGAGTGTATCCTGCTGGAAAAGCTTAATAAAAGCAGACTTAGCAAATGCACTCCAACTGAACACTGGCAAGGCAGCTATGAGATAAATCTTCACAAGTTAGATAATTTCAGTAATACCTACCTCTTAAAGTTTGTTTTGGTTTTTACTTCAGATGCAAGGATGAGCAAATGTTTTTACTGAAACAGATGACATATTTGTTGATGGCACGTTAAGAAACACGCAACATTCTGCTTGTTTCATATTGCATAGGGTTTTTATGATGGTCTGCTTGAAAACAAGGGTCTTACCAGGAACTGTCAAATAAGGGTAGCCCTCCATTTTAAAACATTGTGAGAATTTACTGGGTGGAATAGTACTACTGAACACAGTGGCTCTGTGTAAAAGTCTTGACTATGGGCACTTTGATATCCTTCACATAAGAGCTAGGTTTTTTTCAGAAGCAAATTATATTCAAGCTATGCTTTGATCTTGTGCTGATTGTAGTTTTCTGATACTATTATTTATGTTGGTGCACAAGATGTTGCTTAATGGAACATGGAATCATAGAATTATAGAATGGTTTGGACTGGAAAGGACCTTAAGATCATCTAGTTCCAACACCACTGCCATGGGCAAGGATGCCTCACACTAGACACAGGCAAATTTGATATTTACTATTCTGTAAAAACTAAATCTGAATTGACTTTTATAGAACAGCATATTTGGAAGATGAATTATAAATCACAGAATATTTGTTGGATTTACAAAAGTATATGGCTATTTTTATAGCATTCAACAGTTAATTTGCAAAACTCTTTTATCTGAAAATTGGTTTTATGTCTGATTTCATCAGGATTATACCTATCATGTTGTGAGTGCAATCTGCGAATGGACGGTGGCCTTTGGTTTTGTCTTCTTCTTTTTAACATTCATTAGGGATTTTCAGGTTGGTATCTACATATTTTACCAGTTACCGAGAAGCACTATGAATTGTAGATAACAAATGCAATAGAAAATTACCATTCTTTATCTTAGCTAGATATAGCAAAACTATCCAGAAACAAATTTTATTAGCCCCAGAACCGATTTCTATCTACCTAATGCATATTTTTCCCCTGGCTTTTAATACATAAAAGTCAAGTTTTATAAATCGGTTTAATAGGCGTCTTGAAAATTATTCAGTAAATTAATACATTCTACTCATTTACCAAGCTTTTTGTAGAAAGAGACCCTCTAAAGGTGACATATCACCAAAATAAATGCTGCAACTGAACATAACAATCCAGTGCATTTCAACCACAGATGTTTCCTTTCTTTTTTAAAACTAGAGAGAATTAGAGAGAACCAAATAGTCTAAGTCCTCTGGAATAAAACCAAAGTTTGAAATTAGATCATGTAAAACTTGGTAATTAATTTACTTGCTTCTCCACTTATATGCTTGATCAGCATGGAAGTGGTTAATACTTATATATAACCTATATTTAACTTCTATAAACATACACAGAAATCAGTTTTCGTCTAAGGATTCCAAGTTAACATATCTTTTGTTAACTTGATAGCAGAATTTCTACACCTGTTTACTTTTGATTGGTAGCACTGAATAGACCATGGCCTTAGGGCTTTCCAGTATTAAAAAAAAAAAACAAAAACCAAAACCAGAGATAGGTTCTGAAGAACAAAAAACTTTTGGAAAAAAGGTAATAGTTCAAAATTACTCAATGCATTATCTTAAATGCAGTCCATCATTCTCTGATGTCTACATATATAGACATCTCTTTTATCAGAATTGTCTCTTTTATCAAAAGTGAGACTCTTCCTTTGGAGATACATACTTGAAGATAACATTGTACTCCTTAGAGCAGCTAAATCAGTTTCTAAGTCTGCTTCAGAGCACAGATCCCAAAGTGTTCAACACTGAAAGTTTAACTATATATATAACTATTGTGAACATAATAAATAAGAGAAACAATGGAATTGAGCTAAGTAGAAATGCAGACATTTTAAATTACAGGCTAAAAATAAGCATGAAATCCAATGTTGGTGTTTGACAGTGACAGATAAAATTTTTAGATATAGAATCTAAATTCTACCTGGTTTTTGTCCTAGCCAGGGCTCACAGAAAGCCAACTATTGATTCAGAAAAAACAATCACCAAGCTCTAAGAAAAATAATTCTTCTCTTTTCTTTAGAATTCCTCACAATATGTATTTCATTTAAATGCATTTTTTTATTTTATCTCATTATACTTCATATCATAGAACTGTCAATTTATCTTCAGCTGATCTTTTTTTATTTCTCTTTCTAGAGAGTTTCTTTAAGGATATCAACAGAAATATATGAAGACTCCTGATAGTGGAAAAAATTATATTTTATATATATGAATATTTTATAGGTTTCTTTTTACTCACAGAAAATATTACAGAGGGACAGGGTTTTATAAAGTTGTATAGAGAACCCATGCCATTAACTCCACAACATCTATAACAGCATCCACTAAATCATTTTAAAAACTTGCAGCAATGTTCCTGCTACTTTTTCTGCATTTTGTAATTTTTATACTGTTTGGTATATTAAAAATACTGTAATAGAAGCAATCTGCAGAAGCACTTGAAAGTTATTCAAAGACCTAATTTCCTTAGCACTTTGCTTTTGGACATATCTGTACCTTTTCATTTGCTGTGGTCTGACTGGTAACATTAAACTTGAGAAAGTATGTTTTGCAAATAGTTAGGAAAGTCTAAAAAGAACAGAAAACACTAAGGCTGAATTCCTGTTCTGTTAATTGGCAAGGGCTGTGGAAGAAAGCGTGAGCAGAATTGGGCATCTTTGTTTCAAGACTAGAAATTTGCAGTTAGTAGATGGCAACACTATGCTACATCTTTCCGATAGTGGACACTGTATACAAATACAAATCCTAGGAGAAGATTAAACGACGCTGCTTGAAAAATGTTGTCTAATCATCACTGCACTGTGTGTTTGTAAGAGTCTACCCTTTTTCCCCCTTCATGCACTGATGGCCATAGGAAGCTTGAAACTGAAGTGGGAATAGAAAGTAAATTTATGATGTACTAAATGCACGATCTACTAAAGAGAAACCTTAGTTATAACTTGGTTAATAGAAGGCAGAAGTTTTCCAGCTGTATTTCAACCTACAGTTTCACCCTACAGTTGAAACAGAATGAAGAGGGCCTACAAAAGTCACTGGGAGCAAATGGAAAACGAGGTGGCGCTATAAGTTCTCAGTTGTTCAGTTGTATGTGTATCAGTTTTATATATACGTAAAACTGAAGAAAAAAAAAAAATCCTGGAGAGCTTCGATAGTGAAAATAGGGCACATTTGCTGCTAGAAACTTACTTCTGTAATGAAAGTCTGGGAAAAGAACTAATTGAGAGGTCAGATGTTACAAGTATCTGGAGGCAAAAGGCTATTCTGTGGACTGATCCACTACCTCCATTTTGTGCACTAACCACTTGGCTATCAATCAAGTTCTCTGAAAATTGCATTTGCCATGGTCTATCGCAGTTTATGCAGAAATATTGATGATTTTCAGTTGCTAATTTTCCATAAGATTATAAAAAAAGTGTTTTGGAGAGTGGTGTCTGAAGACTGTCATCTATTGATATTTCCTTTAATGTGTATTTTAAACTGTATTAAATTCAGCTGTTTCACGAATTAAGGAGTCTGCATTTTCTTTGTAAATTCTTCCAAATAAAAACAGTTAAAACATTTTTCACTGGCAGATTTGCTTTCCACAGTACTCAAGTTATCTTGCAGAGGTTTTCAGTTGTGATAATGTTAAAAATCTAATCTAGTACTGACTAAATGCAAACTGTCTTGCTGATAAGGTATCCTGCAAGGGGCACGTATTCCTTCAAGTGAAGATCAGAAACTTAGTAGAAAATGTATAACAACCACAAAAAGTGACATCCCATTAATTCTGAAGGCCGTGTTAAGAAAAGACCATGTGTCTTAGTGCATTGAACATTGTGCTTTTATGGCTTTTTATTCCTAGCAGTCTTAAACTAAAGTATAAGGAGCTTGAAGCTGTTATTTCAAATTATGTCAGCTTTCAGTTCAACAATTTAATAAACCTTTTACGTGGATAAAAGAAATTATGTTAACCTTGAAGTTCAGCCTTAACTAATGTTACTGTGTTTTTACAGTGAATCATTTCACTGAAAGTATATTTAAACAGGAAAAGGATTATTTTTTTTTGTTCTGATTTAGGCAGGAAATCATCACAATAAATTTCATGAGTTTCAAGGTGAGAGAACATTAAGAAAACGTTAAATCATCATCCCGGTATAAGGCTCCTGTAACAAGTTCACACTTATTTAATTTCTTAATACTCTGTCCTCCTCAAAGGAAGAATTGTAGCCAGCTTACCAACCTTTAGAATGCTTGAAGTATCCTGTAAAGCGGAAAAAAGGGTGTTTTTTTTCAGAGAAAGTGGCTGAATCAAGATAATCTTGTTTGCTGAATTCAATGTGTTAATTCAAGTACTGAAGAACTACCAAAAGAAATCCTTCCCATTTTTCTGAGCTTCATTATGGTACATTTTTATCTGGGTTCCATTTATAACTGAAAGAATGCATTATGAACAGTTTGCCTTTTATTTAATTTGTTAGGCTAAAAACATTGACATGCACCAACAGGCAGATAGAGACAATGGGTCGTTACCTTTTCATTTGTGTGGTGAACAACTATTGAAAACAATTCAATTATTTGCTAGATCCAGGCAGCTTTTCAGTCAAGATCCTAATGATTTATTTGGTTGAAATATGAGTTGAAAAGTTGCAAGCATTTAAAAAAAAATATTCTAGCAAGGTGCACTATTTTAGCTATAGGTAACTTCTGTTAAATTACACTTCAATTTTTCACAACCAAGTATCTCTAGAGGTCAGTACAGATAATGCCACAGTACACTTCTGTTGCTTTGCAACAGACTCTTTTTCCTATATTTCCACATTTCTTAGCAACAAGAAATAGCTATTTTTTCATGGGAGCTGTGCAAGAAATGTTTTCATTATCAAGTCCACATGATGTCTTCTGTTTGTCAGCCCATCATGATTGACTGGGAAACCTCTTTTGCATAAACTACAGTAAACCACATGACAGTTAATTGTTATTTTTAGCAGTGATGCTAAATCATTTCTCTACCCATTCCAAAAGTGCAAAGCCTTATTTTTTTCGGTTGTGCAGCTTGATGTACTGATGAAATACTACCACTGTGGCCTCTATCACACATGTAAGACGTGTCGCAAATCGTGTAAGGATGAAAATTGACTTAAAACACCTAAACCCCACTTTGTCTTAAGGCACTGATTCTCCCACTGCTCTTGTCTCCCATGTGTGCTCAGCCAGTGATCGCCATGTACTGTACTTTGTTTTTTTCTCAAAAGGTATTCTAAATTTTCATTTCTGATCTGCTCTGTTTGCATACTGCCTTATCTGTGACAGAAGCATGGTTTTTCTGACAGTCATAAAACAATCTTCTTGGCAAGGGGTTTATTATTTGGTGGTAAAACTGGTTTCAAAACTTTCAAGCAGACTAGAGGCATTGTGGCAATATACGTCAGTGAGTTTTGAGCATTTCAGGATGAAGTTTGTAGGCATTCAAGAGCTTGGTATTTTAAACTGCTCTGTAAATACAAAGTCACAAAGTTGATTTCCTTGGAAGATGAGCTAATGTCTCTTTATTTGGGAGAAATTTGACATAACCTAAGGCAATTGCAATAGGTTTTAATTTGTAAGATTTCTGTCACTTTGACTAAAATTATCACAGCTGAGTCTGTCTTTCGCTGCATTTGTGTGTATGTGTCCATATGGCCCTTACATGCAATACACAAACAGCATTGACATGATGAAGCTTGACAGTGGGTAGTCTTACGTGTTGCTGTAATAACATAAATGATAATATTTGTATCTCATAACCAACAGAAGTCAATTTATGATCTTTGGCTGTGTTTTCTAGCTGGTACTGTGATGCAGAAAGAGTATTTCTCACCTTTTGAAGAGAAAACAGACAACTTGTACATTTTGTATCTGTATTTTTCCCGGTACACAATAGATGGCACTAGTAGACCACATGATCAGGGTTTATTTTGCATGTTCAGGCTAGCGAATACAATAGTTTTGTAGGTTGTTTTAAATATTTTTAATAGTCATCTGGAGATCCAGTTAAACAATCTTTTTATTATGCCTTTGTGGAAAACAAGTCAGATTTAAGTTTCCTTGCCATCCCTTCCTGCCTTAATCTAAGTAAATATGTTTTGCTACTGCAACATGTAGTTTCACAGCAACTTCAATATTTAAAGTCATTTGTCTAAATCAGAGGAGACACTTGCTGAAGTTAACACTGGCGCAAGCTGCAGTTGTCATTATTAAGCCACTTCCTTTAGGAAGTTTTTCCTACCCTATTTACAAAGAAGAGGCATTTTACTCAGTATCTTCAACAGCTTTTTGTCAGTTCTCAGTGTGTCATCAGAAGAAAATATCAACCTTTTTTCCATGAGCCAAAGAACAAGATTTTAGTATTTCAAAATTGCAACCATTCTGCACCCAGAAACAGTGGCATGTGAGGTTGTAAAAAAAATTCAAGGCAGCTGCTGTATCTAAACTCCACTTTTGTTCACATATAATGTTTTCAGTTATTTCCTTGCCTAATTAAAGACTTGGATAGCTTTTTTTGCATGTCTTCTGTGAAGTGTAACGATAATCCAGGCCTCTGAACTGCTGTTATTTTACCTGAAATAATACAAGTTCAGCATTTCTGGTCTTAAATAAGCCATGTTGAGCATAGATGTTCCTCTAAAAGCTCTCGTGAAATGTGGAAAGGATTTTTTTTTATATATGTAAATATATAAAGTGCTTTAAGAAAGTGTGAATACTTTGTTATTGATAGATATCTTTAACATGGTAGAGCTTTCTTACTCCACAACACGACTCCTCTCCCAACACACACTCATAAGTTCATTGTATGTGGAAGGGGCATTTCAAAGATGGTTTCTCTGATGAACATCTAAACTTTCATCATGAGATCTGCAGGAACAGGCTTTCTGTAGCCCTGCTTCCATCAGAGATATTAGCAGTTGGCAGATTCTGTAAAGAGCTAACTTTCCTTCCTTTTATACTGCATCAAACAGTTGAAACACATTAGATGGTTTTCATGGACTTTTTTCCTTTTGAATTATTCAAGAGTATTTTGCTGTGGCAATGTGAAGAAGAAGAGTGGCAGAGCACAGATCCACATCAGCTTGGTAAGGTGGTCACAGCCAGTGTCACTCGAGTGTGCAATGTTCCATACAGAGCTAGGTCAGCATGAGAAGATCATCTGTCTGCAGTAGGGGTTTTATTTCATGTTGTTTTGCTTGGCAAAGGTAGAAACCACGCAAAAGTCAATAGCTTAAAGTTGTTTTTTAAAGTCTTGTGGAAGAGAAAGGAAATTCTAACCAGGAAAAAAGGAAATAACACTGCTAATGAGATATAATATGTGCCTTAGCTTCTGTCTTTGTTCATAAACGCTCTTCTTTATCTTGGTTCTTTTTAGCTAGAATCTGGAACTATTTTCTGACTGTGGGTGACTGGGTGATGCAATTCTTGAGCAATACTACAAATCCAAAGGATTTTTTTTTTTTTTTTCACATCAACCAGTTTCCTCCTTGAATATCCAAACTGAAATAACTCAAACCCCTTGACTATGCTCCAATGAAATTATCTGAAACAGGGGCTTATGCAGATAGGCTTTGTCATATCCCAGCATTTCTAGGCTGGCTCTGTTTTGTTTTGTTTTGTTTTGTCTTTTTTCCTAATAACCTGTGCTAGATTTAATTCATTTAGGTCACCTGAGAAAGTGAAAAACAATTACTTTGGGGTTACCTGTATTATTGTTTTATACAATTGATAGTCTCTTCCCCAGGATAATTTTTCAAAGGAAAATAATTGGGCTTTTTTTCTTTGCAAAAGGCACAAATATAACTTTGTACAGATTTGAACTTTAACTAGGACTGCACATAAAAATCTCATCTTTACTGTTCAGAACTGATTTTGATGATAGCTCTTGATCATAAGACAAAATGTAATATTCAAAAATTCCTTCTGATGAATTATCATTCTGTTTTTATATACAGCTATTTAATCTTTGAAGATCAAAATTCAATAGAAAATAAGAACCTTTACTGAAAGGAAAAATCATCTCGAAGGAGGTGATCCTGCCCCTCTACTCCGCTCTTGTGAGACCTCACCTGGAGTATTGTGTGCAGTTCTTGTGTTCTTAACATAAAAAGGACATGAAACTGTTGGAACAAGTCCAGAGGAGGGCCACGAGGATGATCAGGGGGCTGGAGCACCTCCCGTATGAAGGTAGGCTGAGAAAGTTGGGGCTGTTCAGCCTGGAGAAGAGAAGGCTGCGTGGAGACCTCATAGCAGCCTTCCAGTACCTGAAGGGGGCCTATAGGGATGCTGGAAAGGGACCCTTCATTAGGGACTGTAGTGACAGGACAAGGGGTAACGGGTTAAAACTTAACCAGGGGAAGTTTAGGTTGGATATAAGGAGGAAGTTTTTTACTATTAGGGTGGTGAGGCACTGGAATGGGTTGCCCAGGGAGGTTGTGAATGCTCCATCCCTGGCAGTGTTCAAGACCAGGCTGGACGAGGACTTGGGTGATATGATTTAGC